AGTAGACCCAACAGCTGGTTGTAGTGCACCATCTAGTGGCTGAAGGAATCACTGATGCTGAATGTTTCTTGTACTGCATTTTCGAAAACACTCTGATAGATATATTTAGAAAGTAAGAGAATTGTAAATAGCAATTCCAGATTTGTAAGACTATTTCCCTCTAAAACTTATATTTAGATCATTTAATAAGTAATAAAATTCTTGACCTGAGGGAAAATCATAGCAACATGCTAGTTATGTATAACAAAGGCTTAGATGGCCATTAATTTCATTATACTGCACATTCATTTTAAATACACTGTCCACTGCTTCACGTAGAGGAGACACAATCTATACCAGTGAAGGGGAACAATGTACCTGCTGACAAGATTGCTGTATAGGATTGCTGAGATAGTTTTTTCCTCCTTTTTACTATGCCTTAAACAATTTACCACAGGCGAGTGTTAGTAAAGGCATTTAAAAATGTTCGGGCAAGTATTTATGTTATTATCTAAACTGCACAGTCATGACAATATACTTACATCATTTTTAAATTTAAAAAGGCATTCTGTAGAATTTCTCTTTTTACTCTAAATTGCTATTATCTAGAAAATGTTCCTCTTTTCTACCAATGTGTTCAATTTACTGCGTGAGTCCTAAATAGATGACTGGTCATGTGCTAATAATGCAACAAAAGATCAAGTGTTAAAGGTAAAATTAATGTGACTTTATCAAAGAAAATTTCTCATGGCTACTTGCTCACCTCCTATAGCGTGCGTAGATCTTATAAGTCATGTTATAATCCCACACGCTACACTCATTGTGATTGGTCACACACAAATAACTTACTCAATGTGCCTGGAGCAAAGGTAAGGCTAAGATATTTGTTAAAAGCAAAGCAAGCCAACCTCAATCCCTATACAGCTAGTGTTGATTTCATCTTGAACACAAAGTTGAGAAATCTCGCATAGAATTATAAATCAGAAACAAGTATGGGCTCCCTCTGAACCAAGTGGCAGTAAATCAACCAAATCCCATTCTTTCTTTTTAGAAGTACTATTATTTGCTAATTTAGGAGGCTATGTCTCGCAGAGTAAGAATCTCCTTGTGAAGTCGATGAATGGATTTGGGATGCCTTGGTTTGGAGCAGGGATTTCACAAGGACATTCTGATGTAGCTGTGAGACCAAGAAAGATGGGTTGGAGGTAGGACGATTAGGTGGATGTTTAGCTATTCGTTAATGAATTAAGACCCACTTGGACGAAAGTCTCTGAGATCACATCTCAGGGCTTTGTCCTTGAACCTGTCCTACTTAATACCTGGCAGATATGGAGAAGCTGAAGGACAGAACTAAAATACTAAATGCAAGGCGGGCAGGGAGAGAGTTCAATGTCATTTCAACTTATTGGGAGAATGGGCCCCAATATCAAATGGATATAGAATAATTATTTCCCAGACTTGAAAGGGCAGGTGCAGCCCTCAGAATACCAATTCTGGCCTGTATCTCCTACAAGAGATCAGCCAGCCTGCAGTGAAAAGTGTCCAGGGAGAGGAAATGCACTACTCCCAAGGGAGCCATCCCTTGAGGGAGAGGTCTAACTACAAACACAACATTGAATATTCAGGTTTAAAAAAACATTCTTAAATTTTTTATTTATTTTTGTGAGCAAGAGAGACAGAGTGTGAGCGGGGGAGGGGCAGAGAGAGAGGGAAACACAGAATCCGAAGCAGGCTCCAGGCTCTGAGCTGTCAGCACAGAGTCCGATGTGGGGCTCAAACTCATGAACTGTGAGATCATGACCTGAACCAAAGTCGGATGCTTAACTGACTGAGCCCCTGAATGTTTAGGTTTTAAAAGAAACCAGTTAGGGGCGCCTGGGTGGCGCAGTCGGTAAAGCGTCCGACTTCAGCCAGATCACGATCTCGCGGTCCGGGAGTTCGAGCCCCGCGTCGGGCTCTGGGCTGATGGCTCAGAGCCTGGAGCCTGTTTCCGATTCTGTGTCTCCCTCTCTCTCTGCCCCTCCCCCGTTCATGCTCTGTCTCTCTCTGTCCCAAAAATAAATAAACGTTGAAAAAAAAATTTAAAAGAAACCAGTTATAGGTACAAGGGATGGGCAAGATGTAGTGTTCAGCACATTTTGATTTAGCTGACTTAAGAAAGAGAGTCCATTGCTAGAAGACAATACAATTGTGGCATTTTAAAACCTCTTTCCTCAATTTGTGGTGTGAAAATTTTAAAAGACACAGTGACATGTTGGAATACAGCTAGAAAGACGTGGCTGAGATGACTGAGGACACCTGGTTTGGAGGAATGAAGGTGCAAGTCGTTGATGATGGGGTTTCGAGGGGCACCAGGGCCAGGAAGCGGAAATGAGAGCATGATAATTGGAGCTATTCCATTTATTTTTTTTTTATTTATTTTTTTTTTTTAAATTTTTTTTTTTCAACGTTTATTTATTTTTGGGACAGAGAGAGACAGAGCATGAACGGGGGAGGGGCAGAGAGAGAGGCAGACACAGAATCGGAAACAGGCTCCAGGCTCTGAGCCATCAGCCCAGAGCCTGACGCGGGGCTCGAACTCCCGGACCGCGAGATCGTGACCTGGCTGAAGTCGGACGCTTAACCGACTGCGCCACCCAGGCGCCCCTGGAGCTATTCCATTTAACCCGGAAGTACCGAGAGCCGAACAGTGTCATAACAGGCGATTCAATACCGTATGAGGGGAGGCCTTGGTCCCAAGAAATGTCACCCACCTTGTCTTGCAGAAGAATCAACCGTCTGCCACTTGGAAGCTACTAAAAACCACTGCTACGGGAACAATACTTGACCAGGAGACACCATTATACAAAGGAGGTAACGACAGCTGCAACCACCTGGTGTTGTGACGATCCAACAAAAGAAAAGATGTGTGCGTGTGCAGAAAACTGCATCGGAATGACTTGTTCTTTGTAAGAGATGACACCCAAGGGATTCCCCTAGTTAGGGAACAAAGTAGACTCTGTGGCGTACAAGGTCCATTTGGACCCTAGGAGTCGATGATTTCATCTTATTAATAACCCAAGCTAATTAATTCTGCTTCAACATTCAAAGTCTATAATGCTTTGAACTATACATCATGTCTCCCCTACCTTCATAGTCTATGTCAAATCCCTTAATGCCATGAAGTTAGATCCTTTAATAGCACCTAATTAAACCATTTCCTCTCGTTCACTGTTCATCATTCGGATAAACGGAATAGAGACGTCTGTGTACAAATGGCGTTAATATGTATTTCAGTATGCTCAAGGAAAATAGAAATAACTTGAAATATATGGTGGTTTACTGTAGATAGATCCTTCTTTTTTTTTTTTTAAATAATAGAAATGCTCCCTTTAAAACTCAGTATTATGACCTGATCATACTTAACGACTATGATTTATGTTCATTATCCACGGACAGGATGGAACATGCTTATTTGATTTTCATGTTTTTATATTCATTCTTTGCCTAAATGGTAAAGAAACGGACTCAAAAATAATGTCTAAGAAATGAAATAAAAACCTCTCTTGGGGAAGCTCGGAATCAATGGAGAGGCAAGAATCTGGAATTAAGTACAAAAAGGAAAAGGATTGGGAACGGGGATGAAAGATGAGAAGTATGCAAAATATGCTGAATTATTGGAAGTATTAAAAGTATATGTTATACGTTAGATGAGCAAAAGTAAGCTTCAGATTCTACAATGCTTTTTTGACCTCAGGCAAGCCTCCTATGCCATAACTTCATCACACACACACACAGACACACAGACACACACACGGTGCCCGGTCTCAGTGTTTGCAGAGTCATGGAGCAGATTCTGTAAAGTACCTTTGGAAACCATCTAATAACATGAGTAAATAAATGGCAAAGAATGCTGGCTTAAACGATTTTGCTACCTCAGCTGGGAAACGGTTTTCATAGTGTGGTTATTTTAATATATTTGAGATGGCAATACTATTCACACAGCCCAATGGGAGTCTGTTACACTTGAAGTTTCCAGCTAGAGGCAGGTGCTGGCGTCTGATTCCTGTTGAGGAGAGTCACTGGACTCCCCTTACTCCACATGTAGCATGTTGCTACCAGGAATTGCCAGGAATGTGTGTGAATGGGTTTCCCACTTCCACCTGCTTCTTTGAGCTTCACACATTCTAGTCACCACTTTTCCGAGAAATGGTAGTGTAACTGTGGGGCCCTCCTTATACCTCCAGTCTCTTCCCAGAGCTTTCCGCCTTCCACTGGTGGCTCCCAACAGGATTCAGGAGCCAAGGAAGCCAGGGGATGCCAGCTAAGGGACACACAAGGCAGAGGATGGAAGGGGTGGGTGGATCAATACATGGACGGGTGGAGAGGGCAACAGCTGGGGGATGGATGGGTGTGTGGATGAGTGGATGGTGACAAAGTCAGTAAATCACATGTGGTCTCAATTTCCTAAAATTCCTCTCTCTATATCTACAATGCCAGTGAGATGAAATGGAATCATGTGGAAATATTTTTTAAACTCTTTACAGTGCTATGTGTACGTCGATTTATTTTATTTTTTTGGTTTACTTATTGGGTTATCTGGGGGACGAGACCGGGGGGAGAAAAGCGTGATCTAAGTGGTGGTTAAAATGCTAACTTTAAGAAAACAGAACAATTTTGTTCAGCTTGTTCTTCAATGTGCTTTGTGGATATTTTAAAACCCGCTAAACTAGACAGTGATTAAGTGGCAACACTGATCATAGAAGAAGGCTAGATCCCTGTGTCATACCATCGTAAACCTCCTTAAGACACAGAAGACTTACTTCACTGGTTGCTAAAGTTCACTAAGACTTAAGCCTTTTTCAGCTGAGAGAGGGGATCATTCCACTCAGAAAGGAAGCCAATTTGAGATGGCTGGGTAACAAGCAACACAGCATTCCAGCACGCTCACAACCCCGGAAGCAATCAGTGGCCCCCGCGGGATTTTCACTGAACCCCCCCCCCCCCCCCCCACCCCAGTGAGAAGCCCTGTAACACAGTACCTGTATGTGTCCTTCGGTGAGCCTTCAGGTGAGAACTTTTTGTGTATACTTTGTTGCATCCTTCAAAGTCACATCTGTGGATACGCCGTTTTCTGGAGTCTGGGGATTCAGACCGTCTCTGGCGTCTTGTGCTCTCAATACTAAATGGTGAAATTGAACTGGAAAAAGAAAAACCAGAGTTAAGTGGTGAGAAGCACACAGCACTCTGGTTTGTTCTAGTGGCACGAGACCTCCGTCTCATGGTCTATAGCTTCATATAAACTCGAAGCCCCAGGTCCCCACTTCCCACTGTCACTTGCTTGGACATATTTTATTTCTTAATCTCGAAGACAGGTAGCTTGACCTACTTCTGACGAAACGCTCCTCTAGAGAGAAAGCTATGCTAAAACAACAAGACCAAAACAAAAACGGAGTAAAAGCAGTGGTAGGGATCCTTGTTATCAAAAGAAACAATCTGGAACTTCTGAATGACACTCACAGACAATATTTTTGGAAGCCCTGCTATAGACAGACAAAATGAATGCATTTAATAAGTAACACAAGGGTCTGAATTGCACGTGAAAACATATAAAATTGTGTAAAATCACAAGGTACATTTCAAAACAAGTGAGGTCAGGCTGAAAGAAATGACATCAGTACGTCAATAACATGACTCACGACGAGCTATTTCTGTTCACTAACATGCACCTGACATTTAACTTTTCCAGTTGGTGGTTTTTCATGGTGAGGAATAAAGTACATTGTATTTAAAGATTAGCTGTACCACCATTATGAGAAAAAGTTTTAACTATGAAATTTGGCCCTGACTTGCACGTTGTTTAATCTTCATGCCACAGTAGAAAAACAGGATTAGTTTGTAACGTCAGGTAATTGATTAACATGTACTTCTTCAAACCTTAATCTCTTTTGCTTGAGGTAGAAATGAAGAATATGACTAATCGTCTTTAGTTATCCATGGAGTTCTTTACTATTATTATGAAATACAACACAAAAGCAATCATCCGTATTTCTACCACACAAAATTTAACACTGTTAATATTTTCTTCCAGCTTTTTCGTGTCTTGACGCTTTTTAAAATTCATTTTTATTAGTAAATCACCTCTTTTTAAAAAGCTGAATGACTCTGAGCAAGAGTTCTTTGAAGTGAAGTTGAAGCTTTACCTAAGAAGATCACAGATGAAGACTGACCCCGCCTTTGTCTTCCATCCGCTTCCTCTCTGCGCAAACTTCTGCTACCAGTTTTCTCGGAATTCTTCCAATTCTTCCAAATGATCCTTACCTATACATATCTACAGTCATAGAAATTCATAATGTTGCTTGGTTTTTTAAGAGCCGTGTAAATATCATGTTGTTCACATCATTTTGCAAAGTGCTCTACACTTGCCTTTTCTTCACTCAACATGAAGCATTTGAGATCATCCACGCTGATGCCAACATTGGAGTTTATACTTGTAGTGTTACGTACCACCACGACTCTAGTCTAAGATATCTTCCTTTTATATTTAAAAAATTTTTTTAATTAAAAAAAAATTTTTTTTTACATTCATTTATTTGTGAGAGACAGAGAGAGACAGAGCACAAGTGGGGGGAGGGGCAGAGATAGAAGGAGACACAGAATCCGAAGCAGGCTCCAGGCTCTGAGCTGTCAGTACAGAGCTCCATGCGGGGCTCAAGCTCACAAACCGTGAGATCATGACCTGAGCTGAAGTCGGACGCTCAACTGACTGAGCCACCCAGGCACCCCTTCTTTTTATAGTTTAATGTCTCTAAAATCAGTAGCTTCTTACAATTTGATAGCTTGTCATAGTTTAACTGGCATAATTTTTTTGTTAGCGGTACATAAGTAATGGTGCATTTTACAATATGTGGTATTTTAAACTTATTTCAGGGGTTGGTAAGATTTTTCAGTAAATGGTTAGACGGTAAATATTTTGTTTTGACTTTGAGAGCCATACGGCATACATTTAACAAATCAACTCCGCACTTGTAGCATGAAAGTAGCTATAGACAATACATAAACAAGAGAGCATGGCTAATGTTCCAATAAAACTTTATTTACAAAACAGTGGGTTGCACTTGGGTCCAGTGGTTGACACATGACTTAGATGAAATATGGTCCAGTGAATATTTATCCCAGAGTCTTAAAATCTATTTCCTAAGGGATGGCCATTTAGATTATTTTTTGAAGTTTATTTAACAGAGAGAGAGAGAGAGAGAGAGAGAGAGAGAGAGAGAATGAGGGGGGAGGGGCAGAGAGAGAGAGGGAGAGAGAGAATCCTAAGCAGTCTCCCCACTGTCAACGCAAAGCCTGATGCAGGGCTCAAACTCATGAACCATGAGATCATGACCTGAGCTGAAATCAAGAATTGGTTGCTTAACCAACTGAGTCACCCAAGAGCCTCCAAATTGTTTCTAGTATTTCACTGTAACATTGCTCCCCAATGTTTCCTTCTATGGTAATTGCCTTTTAAGTTTTCAATGTGTCTTCTCCCTTTTACAAATAACAGATTCAGCAGCCAAAGCTTTCTATTAGTAGCTAAGACAAAATATAAGTGGTGTTTATCTACTTGTGTCTTAAAAAGTTTTATGCAAGATCTTTATTAGTAGAAGAAAGAAAATATGGGGTGGCTTAGCCACTTTTTCCAGCTTTCCCATGAATCAGTGTGGATTTGTGGTTTTCCACACAACCGACTCAGTTGTGGTGACTGGAGCCTATTGTGAAAAGAGTCAAAATAGTGTGACTGGCCTGTCCATGAAAGAACAGCTTCGGTCACTCCTGCCAAGGTACGCTCTGGCATAAGGTGCGATTCTGATGAACAAAATGGTATGTGTGATGACAGGGCAACAGTAATTCATTTCTTGGATATCAGGTCATGAAAATAAATATGGATCTTGGCACCGGGGACCTCAAAAACAGAAACTTCTGTGTTGTGATACATTTGACGTCTTTTAAATCAAGAGAAAATGATATGGTATCTGTTTCCTTCAAATTATAACTTAAAGTTATACTTGCTACACACTCATAAGCACCAGGGTAAATGTACCTATGCATAACCACACACATATATCGTTATGCCCGCAGTTTATTTTAGCTATTTATCTTGCGATGTATTCATGTATGCAGAGAGAAGTAAAAAAAATAGATCTGAAATTAAAACCAGGTAACTACCAAGCATGTCTTTAAGGGACCAATGGTGTCATGCTGCTCTCCAATCCTGTCAATCATGAACTATGTGGCAGGTGGGTAAGGAAAGCAGAGGCCACAGAATGGCACGATATTACTACACCAAGAGTCCTGAATTTAAACCAAAATGAAGACATGTTAGGCGGACGGCCCTAATGCTAAAAACTTCACCCCCTGGTTTTTCCTCGTTTAGGAAATGGCCTGTTGTAGTCCATTATGAAGAACCACCCCCTAAAGGTATCTATGCCATGAAAATAAGAAATAATTTTCAGGGCGCCTGGGTGGCTCAGTCGGTTGAGCGACCGACTTCGGCTCAGGTCATGATCTCACAGTTTTCGAATTCGAGCCCCGTGTCGCGTGGGGCTCTGTGCTGACAGCTCAGAGCCTGGAGCCTGCTTCAGATTCCGTGTCTCCCTCTCTCTCTGCTCCTCCCCCACTCATGATCTCTGTCTCAGAAATAAACATTAAAAAAAAAATTTTTTTTAAATAAAAAAAAAAAAGAAAGAATTTTCTAAAAAGTATGTAGAATGAAGAGCTGCACCAGGCTGAGCTGGCTTGGAAACGATATCCAGTGGGGAAAATTTCTCCTGGCTCCCCATTTCAAATGGCAGAGGCATCCTCTGAAGATTCTGAAGAACCTTTGGCTAGGCTGTGCCTTTCAGAACCACTTGCTGGATCTCTTTGTGGAAAAGTAAGAAGTGGGGCTGGAGTAGACAGGGATCAAAAGAGCAAAACGACTTCAAGAACGCAGGAAGACGTGAGGACAGTCCCACTCCATGCAGGACCGCTGCTCTGCTGGGGCTCATGCAAAAACCCACAGATGGCAGGCATGTTAGGGGGAAGATAACCAGAGATTGGGGGCTGGGCCAAGCCAAGTTCGTGGCAGGAAATGGGACAGTCAAGGCACTGGTGCCAAGCATCTCTAGAGCTTAGGACACTATGAGCATTCAAGAAATGTTTCCTGAATTGAATGAATGAATGAATGAATGAGTGTATTAAGTCAGGCATTCCTAATTTTTAAATTAAAATAGTCAATCAATTAATCCTTACTTGGCTAATTAATCCTAACTAGGATTCTTTTATTTCAAGTCTTTGGTTAATGGTCATTCAATTCTTTACTCTTATTCTCATTTCCTTAAACTTCATATTTTTAACACTATTACGAAGTGGCTACTGAATATCAGAAGAGTCTGAGTAACCATTAAAACCGCATGTATGTAGGTGTCTCAGTTCTTTGCTCTAAAGTCAAGAGAATGGCAGCATTCTAAAGCATTCCTTACAATTAAAATTCTCAGTGGAAGCACACTGAGACCGCCCGGAACATGTCTAGGATGCTGGTGAATGAAATAAAAATCTTCCTTTTGATGCTGGTGAGCATGTATTGAACACGGGAGGGTGAACAGTGAGTGACCTTCCTCCTCAGCAGTAGCGTCCTGTCCTGTCCTACTCTGAGGCTCACCAGCAGGGGCATCTGGTAACAGAACAGCTGTAGTTATGCTTTGGGTGTTTCTATTCTGCCCTTTCTACGCTTTCTGAGCGGTGTGCCCTTTGTTGAGAAGGCCCTTAAGGTATCCCCAAACACATGCAAATTGGTCCTGCGCTTCGAAAGTTGGTCTTGTTCTCAAGAATGGAAATGCGCAAATATACCGCAGCCTGCGCCAGCACAGGATTCTTCCAATAATCCTTAGTAATAAGCTTGGTATGATGAAAATGGTAGAGGTAAAACGGTTGCCAGTGTGTTCCCAGAGACTGTACAAAAGGCATCTGCACAGTTCAAAAGAACAATAACTAAAGGCCCACTCCCTTCCCCAGAAGGTTAGACCATTTGGAGTAGTGAATGAGCGCCTGAGGGGGCCTCACAGGCACTGCGTTGTAATAATTAGATCTACAGAGAACAAATGAGTGAATCATGACTTCGGTTGCACAACAGTCCCACTTGGAATGGCAAGTTAAATTAGAATTAAACCCAGAGAG